GTTTTGTTTTGTATATATAAGTTGCTCGGGTTTTTTCTATCTAAAAAAAGACGACATTAATTTCCTGACGACCTGATATATATATATATATATCAAATATGTCTAATACTATAAATTGCATCAACTGTATATATAGGCGATCACATCCGCACTATATAATAATGATGAACATTTGTGTAAAACTAAAACAGTGTTTAGTGTTAAATCCAAAAACAAACCAATACTGTAACAAACTTCAAGTATAGATTTAATAAATTGCAATTTAAATAACTTATTAAAAATATACCATTTGTTAACAACGTACAAAAGGTATAATTTTTAAAGGAAAAAAAGCACACAAAAGCGTTGAGGATCTTCCATCTACCAGACATATCCCTCCAAAACCAACAACAACAACAAATACATAACGAAATAACTGTCACGGAAGATCAACCAGAGGTTAGATGTGTAGTGCTATAACCCACAACGTCCCAGTACTTACTATAATTCACCGTCTTCAGCCAGACGTGAACACCCCTGAAAAGTTTAAGATTTTGGAAGTAACAATTATTACTGTAAGGGTTTATTGTTCCTGTTACTTCGTAATAATTGTCTAAAGGGCGGAGGTTAGATGTCTAACAAGGGTAGAAATTAAGGGTGGTTCTTTACAAAAAATTCTCTACTATGATGCTACTTTCAAAATTTCAAATTTATTATGAATGTTATTTTGTTTTACATTTACACTTAACATCTTGACCTTGGTTTATATATATATATACATACAGCTATGAAACGTTTTGAGGAAGTACGTATGTATTATTTTTTCTGTGATAGTGCCAAGAGAACTGGAAATTTATCTAGTTAACACAAATTGCCTCAAAATAGGCAAGACATTTTTTTCACTAGTGAAAACGCTAATTTTCGTAACACATATTTCCGCAAATTTTACATAGGTTTTTTAACTGAAAGATTATATTCTCCCAGGAGAACCACGTAAAACAGATAATCAAACCATAACCTAACTTCGCGCGTCACACTTTAAGGTCGTGGGTGCGTTATAAGAACGACAGTCAGATTTCACCATTTGATTATAGTGGCCCAACATATGGTGGGAGGAGGGTAGTGTTGACAAGCTATCGTTTCTCTACTCTATCACTTTAAAATTAGGGACCATTAGTACACATAGCCCTCTAACAGCTTTGGGAGATACTCCACAAATAACATTAACCCTAACCTAACCACATCTAATCTAACCTTTTTTTTACAGCAACCTAGGTTTGAAGTTAACTTACTACTAGGAATCTCGGTAGGCCAAAAATAAAATATGGCGTTATTTAAAACAAAGTATTATACTATCAGTAAAATCATGTGATTTAAGTTTCTAGAGGGAAAATGTTATATTTAGAAAATGAAATAAAAATATTGACACATTATGGGAGATTTTATTTGAAATTATATTTATTAGTGCTTCAATTTTAATTTTAATAGAATAAGCCAGCAATTAAAACTGATTTTTTGCAAAACAACACTATTTGATTTTTTAATTCTTATCGTATTTCTCTCAGTTTTCCTGATTGGTCGGCTTGTTCACGTGATCATTTTCATACTTGTATGACTCATTCAATCGTCAGTGTCCCTTTTTTTCTTTTTTTTTGTAGAAAATGTTAAAAGTCATATTAGATGCATAATATCTATATCTATGGTTTCTTGTTTTCATATAATAAAATGCGTTAGAGAATTTTTTCTTCGTTATTATTAATACCAATAATAATATTTAATATTTTAGAAAACACACACAAATCATTGGCCTAAGCAATTGAACCATATTTCGATTTAACACATCGTCTTATAACATGCACACACATATAGATAAACGGCTGACTGATTACCGCATGATTCTAAATATAATTTTATTAAATTTCTTACCCTATTGACTTTCGGTAAGCAATCGAGTATGTTAAACATTAAATTAACATTTCCCTCAGGATCGTCAGGTAGACAAACGCTAATTCCGTCCAATAACATATCAAATAAACTCTTCGTAAACAGAGGTTCGGGAAGTTCTCGGAGGTAGTCTTTAAGAATGTCTGAAAAAAAAAACACGTATAAAAAATGACACTATCGTTGAAAAGACTGGATAACTTTACGTGAAAATGATTACTTACTAAACTATTCGTTGGTACTAAAGTATGATAATTAAATTATTTCGTATAAACGTCTCTATCCTTTGTGTCATGTCTGCATGAATAACAATTATTTAAATACTCTTTAGCTATATAATTACTTTGTTAACTCTGCTTGCTATTTAGAATTTTCATAATATTTACTCGCGATTTTTAAGCCAGATACTCTGTAAATAATAATCTATGACAGTAAGCGTGGGATGAATTCACAAGTAAATTGATATCGATGCTCGGTTTGTATTCCGTACCTAGTTGTTCGAGTACGATATGTGAAAGTTTACTCATTAAGGATGCTCCATGATTCCCTGAAGAATACCTTCTCATTCACTATGCATATTCAACGAGGAGTAGAAAGGCGTGGAGAAAGTGTGTATTCTCTGAATTTTCCATTTGGCGAGATTCACGTAATGCAAATAAGTATGCAAAACCAACTGGATTTAACTGTACAGATTTTACATGAATAAAGATGGTTTAAATCGTTTCAGCATTACGTAAAACCTGAGGATCTAAACACAGGATTGTTCATCACTGACCTCTAAAATATTATATTTAAATTATCAATAATTTAAGTAAATAAAACTAATGTTGTTGTTTTTTACTTCTGGATTACTAAAAATTAATAAATAGGAGTACCTTTTCATTGATGCAATGTGATAATAACCATGGGCGCCCTCAGGAAGGGGCAAGGGGGGTTACTTGACCCCCCTGGATTTTCAAAAAGAAAAAAAAATTACTAGATATGTAAAATTATTATTCTATGTTACTGGAAAATCATAAGGTATTTGTATTTCGATTTCATAGTTTTTTCAAACTTCAGTTACTTGACCCCTAATTTGTTTTCTGCGGGTGCCCTTGATAATAATGTGAAAATAATGCGGATAACGAATTAGCTTATTTCATCTTATAACGTTTCTTTAGAATCTTTTCACTTGTACGCTGTTGTAGGCCAAAGTTTACAAATAACGTTTTAACGGAAATACCTCGTTAATGGTACTACAACTAACATACAAGTAAACTTACTTGTACAGTTCCACGGCTAATCGACCGAGTACCTGAATATACGCAATAACTAACACTGATCTGAATACTTCACCAACTTCTCATTAAATACTTTACTTAACTTTAAATCGTTGAACTAATTCGTATTTATAACCAATGTACCTATGTCTAGGTATTAGTCGAAGTTTCACGATCTTAATATCAAGTACCCTTCGACTAGCATCTATATTAGAACGTTAAAAATATAGCTTACAACAAGAGAAATCTAAGTAAGGCTATCAAAAGTTAATAACCTATAAAATTATTAAAGAAAATTTGCAGTTAACATTTAAGAAGAGATTTACACTAGTAATTCAATCAACGGATTTATATCAAAAATAACAACAACAATATACATATTACGATACCATGAAATAGAAATAGTTCTTCAGACAATACTTTTTCAGCTGTTTGTACGTTTTGTATACGATTATCTTTACCTTATGTTTCTAAACACTTCATACATTAAGTAATGGTATCGTGCTAAATGTTTTCTATATAGAATACCAAAATTAACTCAAAAATAAAGATATCAAAACTTTTATTGAAGAAAGCATAACTGATTTGTATCAGTTGATCGGTAACGAAGTACGGTAGTCGAGTCGTTGCGAAATTTTGAGTAACATTTTTGCTTATTTCGAGTAACGTTTCTGTTTATTGATCTTCGCTTTCATCTGTTCAAAGGTATTTAATAAGTATTTGAACACCTGGACAAACTCACCGTTTTCCTTTTTTAATTCCCCGGTTTTCATTCATAGTTATATTTGTAATATTTTATGGATCTTAGGCTTATTTCAGCGGAACATCGAAGTGATTAAGTTATGATATATATATATATTAAGTGTTAATCAAAGAATACTAAAAATATTGGTTTTATTATATTTAAATTCAGTATTACATCTGTTTGTTTTGTTGGATCAAAAACACCAACCGCAATTATTGGTTATTCTTGTCAGGACAAATAATTTTATTTGATGTCACTCTTATAATACACTCGCAACCCAAAAGTTCGCTTTTTTTTTCAGTAACGGGACGTGAACCACGGACCTCAACTCCATAGCACAGAACCACTATCGGCACAATATTACATGATGGGCCTGGTGTCTGCAAGTCTTCATTTACCTAAATAATGTTTTTAAACTTGATCGATAAGCTGATTGTCTCTTTGGTGGCTGCACGAGAAAGATATAGAATTTGCTAACAAAAGCTTCTATGAAACGTGTGGAAGAATTGATGGAATTCTCTCATAATTTTCACAACTTTTCTTCACTGACGATATAATCAGCTTTATTTTTGTATCTATTTACCTCTTGTTCTCCAAAAGTGGGTGTGAGTTTATTTGTAACACTCTTTATTTGTTATCCAACTCTTGTTATTTATGAGATTTATTCAGCTGTTACATTGAGTAAAGACCTGATTTTGAGAGTTTTCCCTGCTATTTATCAAAGGAGTTGTATCTTGGAGTATCTTACAGGTTTAGCGGTGTGCTACATATCGTACGTGTTATACCTTGTCAGAAAGTTGGTTAACGCTACACAGAGACTTTTGCTGAACTTTTAAAGCAGTTAAATGTTTGGGAGTTCTTTAACCTGTTTAAATATTTAGAAGTGGACTCTTGAAATGAACGAAAAAATAAAAGAGAGCGATTTTTCTTTTCTTTTTCTTTCTTAACAGCAGTGGTTTTGTGGACAACTCCTTTATAATAAGCAATTGGATATTTAACATTTTACTTTGGAAAATTCTTTCAGATGAGAAATATGATCACATACTTTTCTGAGTCGGTCCTACAGGAACATATGTGTGTTCCTAACTTCATCCAGTAAGTATGTAAAGAGTATTTTCTATAACATATTTTTTGTATTTTCTATATAAACTACAGTTTACCTTCGAATTCAATTATAGTTCTAAGTTATACAGTATTTTTTGTAGGAAACGTATCCTTTTATCTAGACCTATCTATAAATATATATATATATATATTTTTATTACTGATTATGCCCGCTAGAGGCCGATAATGATAAAAAATATTATCTAGATCAAACTACGTATTGAGAATGGACGAGTTACCTTCTACTGTGATTGGTTAATATGGTGAGAGTGCAGCAAGTAATTGTTAGCAGAGGGCAAAATACTTAGTGGTATGGACAGTGAACTGTTTACTACATTTTGTGGCAGATTTACAGCTAATTAAGATTCAGAGTCAAATAAAGTGTTTTGTTTTCAAACCCACCCTTATGTTTGGTAGCTTGATTTCAGGCTGCTTAACAAAGGAATATTATTTCTTATGTGTTTAATATTATTAATACAGTTTTAATTATTATTATTTTTTTACTATTTACCTTCACGCCTTCACGCCTTGTTTCAAGCATTTCATCCAACGCTGCTTTTAATGGAGTACCTCTACCTTGTCGACTATGAGGGTCGTGGGTTCGAATCCCCGTCCCACCAAACATGCTTGCCCTTTCAGCCGTAGAGGCATTATAATGTGACAGTCAATCCCACTATTCGTTGGTAAAAGAGTAGCCCAAGAGTTGGCAGTGGGTGATGATGACTAGCTGCCTTCCCTCTAGTCTTTCACTGCTGAATTAGGAACGGTTAGCGCAGATAGCCCTCGTGTAGCTTTTGCGCGAAATTCAAAAACAAACCAAACCTGTATCTTGTCTCCTAAGAACCATTTTGAAGCGCAATACTAATAGAAAGACGCAGCGTGAGTTTGAAAGATTGTCTAAAAACCAAGAAAAGAGGCAGAAAATGTCCACAAAAAACAATGATAACTTTAATATAGAGAATAGTCTTGTTCCGAAACTATTTTATTGACCGGGAAAGCTTACAAGTACCATGATATACTGAGCAAGGATAGATAGTTGTAAGTCTGGTTTCTCATAAAAGATAATCGGCATAGATGGATGATTGTGTTGTGCTGTTAGGATTCTCACATGCTTATTTATCAAAGATGGACAAACGGGAGTGAGGATCTTTACGTACCATAATAGCAAAAATCTGATTATTATGTAATAGAGTTCTCACGTGTTCTAATTAGCAGAGGTGGATGATCGTGTGTTAGACCCTTGCACGATCCAGTCACCAGTAGAAGATGGGTCTATGTTAGAATTCTCAGATGACCCAAGCAGCATGGTGAATGGTTGTGTGTTAGAATTCTCATGAGCTTTGTGTTGCCTCGTGGTTGGCGTGACAATCTTTGGATCAGAGGGTCCATGGTTCACGTCCTGTTACCACAATAAAGAAAGAATCGCAGTCACTTTTAGACGTGGGTGCGTTATAAGAGTGACAGTCAAATCCACCTATTCGATAAGAGTAGCCGAAGAGTTGGTGGTGGATGCTGTTGACTGGCTGCCTTATTTCTAGTTTATTAGTTTAGAATTAGGGAAGATAACCCTTATGTAGCTTTGCGCGAACATCCGAATCAGACCAATCCAAAAGAATTCCCAAATGACCCAGTGAGCACAGTTAGAGGTAGGGTCCTATGATGGTTACTGTATGACGAAATGTTAATCTAATAGCATAAGCAAGATAGTTGATTTTATCTTTAAGCTTCGTGATTTTATTTCACGCTGAATGAGCTAGGCATTACTGAGATCAATAAAACACTGGCAGTAGTCGTAAAGGTGGGCAACTTTGGATAATTGTTGCATGGTGCTTCCTGCAACATTCGGTAATGCTTTGTTTCGGTTTCTCTTACCACATACATAGACCATAAGTTCTTGGATTTTATGTGTCGGTCTAAGAACAAAAGTAACGGTTGTGTCATCAGTTTACTAACCTGAAAAATGCAATCTAATTAGACACTGTTCCAATTTATGTTCTTCTAAACCGGCTTACATTCTGGACATTTTGCGTATAGGTACACCACTGCTATTTTTGAGGGCTAAATGTGGTTATTGTACCAGGCTGTCAAAACGAGGATTCGTGGTTTGTAGCTCGTTGCCGCATAAACGCTCTCCCCACTTTAGACTCGAGGATGTACTATAAGAGTGACAGACAAGTCTCACTCGAGGGCTATCTGCTCTAGCTGTCCCTAATTTTCAAGTGATAGACTAAAGAGAAGGCAGCTAGCCACTACCACCCACTGCTAACTCTTGGGCTATTTTTACCAACGAATAGTGGGATACTGCCACATCATAAGGTCTCCGCATCTGAAAGGACGAGCATGTTCGGGAACGAGATTCGAACCCGCGACTCTCAGAGTTCGATTCGAGTTCTCTAACCACCCATGCCAAATCATCAGAAAAGAGAAGCCCAAGAGTTGGCTGTAGGTGCAATTAACTAACTGTCATTCCTCTAGTTTATCTGTTCAAAATTAGGGAATGATATACGCAGCTAGCTCTTGTGTAGCTTTGCAGGTTTCTGAAAAAAACAGAAATCTAATTCTGATTTTCAGAAAATTTCAGAAGATGCTGACAAATAATAGAAAGAGAGGGAAGTAAGCGTACAGGACCAGGGTTGATCTTAGGTAGCTTGTTGCCACAGGATATATTTTAAAATGCCCTCCCAGATGGAACCTTTTCATCATTATCACCGTTAAAATATATACAATATTACATAAATAAAACTTTGCAATTCCCAGTAATTTTTTTACTTTAGCAGGTCTAATTGTGCCTTGTTTCGAAAAGTCCACAAGCATAAGAACTTGACTTTCGTCCTGTTCTTTTAGTTGCAAATTTTTGGAGCATTTCTTTAATTCATCGAATTTAGTAAAAGCTTCTTTTATATTTGATATATTACAGTGTTCGTGTCTATGAACACAGTTTCCAGGGTAGTAAGAGACGGCAAAGGATGTAAAGTGAGCGCGAGATAATCGATCATAATGAAAATCAAATTAACATAAAGCATTTTATTTATTTTGATGCTCTAGACAGTTGCCTATCTAGCCTGCACATGCTTAGCATGATTATTTTGTTTAATATATTTTCACATTTAGATAATGAATATCTAAACTTTACATTTTAAAGATATCGAAAAAGTTATAGTAAAACGATTTTGAGCTCTCACCACGTCATTACAATCTATGTTACTACGGCCGGGCATACTTTATCTGACGACCGTGTATCTTGACAAAAGTCCTGCAGCGTAGTTTTCATTTAAAATGGCTCCACCGTAAGACTGACATGTAAAAAACACACCACTTACCTCCGCAAGCTTTCCATAATTCGTTTAGTGTACGAGGACGGCGGTTTCCCAGCGCCCTTTTTCAATATTCCAATAATATAGAAATCCATAAGCGCTGCATCCAGCGAATTCGCCTGTATGACTCTTTATGAAATGGCATGAATACTCGTTTCGTTTTCTAGCTGCTTGAGGTATGCAATGGTTGATATGGATATGTGTACACGCGACTTATATCGGTTCTCCAGACGTAGATCATTCTATCTTATCTAGCTTGTTGTTAAGTATATTAATATAACATACTTATTCCACTGCATATATACACAATGTCGTTTGTTACTTGAATTTTTTATGTGATTTACGTTAATATATGGAATTCCAAAACAGCTCATTATCCATCGGAAAACATAAACAAGTACAATCCATTGTAACACAGAAATCATGAGCATTGACAAAATGGGAGGGTGCGCAAAATTTCATTTAATTAACTGTCTATTTGATGACCATAGCTGGTTAGCTTTAAATGTTATCTTTTTTTTGTCTCCTTAATTATTTAATGTATCTTTAATAAAAGCACATGTCCTTCCGAAATGCTCTCTAAAAAGTATAACCAGTTATAGTGTTTTCTATAAAAATACAAACGTATAAAAGATGTCTCATTTTTTAACAAAAATGAAAAACCGTTATTCTGTAATTTGCAGTGATTATATATTTTTTATGATCGAAATGATGGTACAATGTTGTTCAAAATTGATTAAAATGTTCGCGTGTCTTCCTGATGAAGAAGAAACCATCGCTCTTCGAAATGACTCGAGTTTTGGGACCGTTTTTTCACCTTTATAATTATATATATATTATTTTCTTGGCACTTGTGTACAATATTAAAGTAATAAATAAATAAAACACAACATTAAAATCGATACACATTTAAAAACATTTTTAAAATATGGACTCTACATGTTTCGACGTTTACCACTCCTGATGATGACGTAGTAAACGTCGAATTCATGTAGCGTCCACTTTTTAAAAATGTTGTTTATTGTGTATCGATTTTAACGTCTTGTGTTATTTATTTTTATTATATAATAATTTTGAATCGATCCATCCAAGATGTGTTTTGTACTTCGAAGTTAATGGAAATAATGTCCATGGTACAATACATTGTGATATTTGAAATATCCGTAGAAAATAGGTTTTATGTGTTTAGTTTAAATTAGTAAATGTTTTATACATACACACACACATATATGTATATATATCATTATTTATATAAACATACTTACTGGTCACAACATTGATGTCATGTACGTGTTCTTCTGTTAAATCAACTAACCAGGCATTCCTTTCAAACGCATCTCGGAGCATTTCCTTCCTAACAGCCGACCCGCAGAGGCGATAGATACCAACAGTAGTTAGTCCACGGGACTCGACCTCATCAATACACCTCTTTAAAATAAGTGGTACACCCAAGCCAGAGTTCTCTCTTGCGACGATGGTTTCCAGGTCCACCCCGAACACCCCACTCGAAGTGGGTGCCGGGATCCTCTCCAATATTTGCCTGAGATGTGTGAATTGCAGCTTGAGGTAGAGAGTTCCTCGTGGCTCCAGCTTCAGTGCCAAACTATGGGCAGGCCCTTCTTTATGCATATTGAGGTGTATTGTACCTTTGTAACATAGCTTGTGACGGTTTTGAGGATCCCAACTGTAAATAAGGAAAGATAACTCTTGGTTTTCAACCAAATCAAGCTCGAATATCTCGTCCCAGTCGAAACTGTGTTCGCCAGTTCTTACTGCCGTCCTTGCCTTGTGCACGTGATCACACTCAATCACGCAATACAGATCTCTGAAGTGATCAAACTGCCCTGTGGGGCGCAGACCCCGACCCGTGAGAAGTTGCACTCGTAGCATCCCGCTGAATGTGTCTAAAGAACGAGGCATCATTTTGGATTCTCTCTGTGGTCTATATTTATAAAACTCTTCCGGTTCCAGCGTGAGCAAGTGCAACTTTTCATCTGAGTGTTTAGTGGGAGAGGGGAAGGGTACAGTGCGGTGAAACCCAAACTTGCGGGGGTAGTTTATGTGGGAGGTATAGGTAAGTTCTTCGGTCTTTGGCCTTAAAAGCGACCGTCTCACAGGAACATTTGCAGGGTAGAGGCCATGCTGCCGCTCCTTACGGGATAGATAGATAGAGATAACTAGATCAATTTAACAAATATTCATCAAGAAAATACATAATCAACCTAGAACGTATAGAAGTGACGTAACGTTAGTACAGAAAATCAACACTCGAATATAAATATCAAAGTTTCTGTATAAGATGTGCCTAGAAAATATTTGTGGATTCTCTTTTCTCTTTTGAATTGTTAGTAAACGTTTGATAAAGTGAAGTAAAAGTTTCACGGTGAAATATTTCACACACTAAATTCAAACAAAATAATACCTTAATTCCAATTTCAAAGATTATATTATCTCAGTTCATGAGCCCATAAGGTTGATTTCGCCAGCATATTTTATCAAATTATATTTTCTTTAGACACAATTCAGTACGCTTCTTTCTTGGACGTTCCTTTTTTACTTTGATCAATAGTGAATTATCATCGAAAAGTAAAATATTATATAATTTTGTATTTCTCTTTAATCGCCTGGATATCTACCAAAAACAAGAATCCCAGCACGTAAACAAATCCAATTTTCTTATAACGTAGTTATACTTCAAGTCTTTATACCAATAAGCTGATTTAATACAATTTCAAGTAGACTTCTGGATAAATTCTGGTAGAAATATTCTAATAAACCTCTTTTAAGATCAATTTTAACTACAGATCATTCATTACCATTAACTCTATTTATTTGTCATTTGGAAACAAAGTCTACGTAAAACATGGAATTCAAAATTAACACAATCACCATAGCGTGCTAAAATTAATATTAGGACAAATAAAAATTGCACTCATTTTGTCTCACTGTTTATTAGAAACATTATATACTTTTGATCATATTTCGAAGGTTAATTAAAGATTGAATTAAGTTTTTTTAAAATATTTTTTTCACAATAGTTCTTTGTTTCATTTCGTTCGTATTTATATGGCCAGGTGGTTAGGGCGCTCGACTCGCAATCTGAAGGTCGCGGATCCGAATTTCCG